CAGAAGACCCTGGATGCTATGGTGCATAAGAGAACCCATGCTGCTGCGAAGCAGCGAATGCGCCACTGCAACCAGGCGTCGCTGCTGTCCGAGGGAGGGCCCAGGGCCGGCGCCTACCTCCAGTATCCCACGGAGCTGGCCTGCACGCTGAAGGACCACCACTGGCAGACGGCCACTCGCAGCCGCGCCCAACTGCCGCGGCCGGAGTGCCCCACAGACGAGCTAGCGCGCGGCGGCGACCTGCCAGAACCAGACGGCTGGCGGCGCGCCGTGCCAAGCGCCGCTGGATCCGGCGGGGTTCCACGCGGCCTTGTGTCAGCCCGGCGGGGGCGTCGTCAAGCGGCACGCGGGCGTTGCGCGCGCCGCGGGCAGCCTCGCCGGCAGGTGGTGCCACTGCTCGCCGCTGCACGAGCAGCGGGTGCCCACGTGGGACAGGGCCCACGCGCCGCGGGGGGGCCCTGAGGTTCTGAGGATCTCGTTTTCAGATCCGAACGTTTTTGACATCTGTTTTGAGATCCACAGCTATAAACAAGATCCGCATCAAAAAACAATAGAAACGAGATCCAGAGCCATAAACGAGATCCAAACACTTAAACGAGATCCAGCCACTTAAACGAGATCCAAGCTTTTAAATCACATACAAAGCATTAAACTAGATCCAGATCCAATACATATGATAATACAGTCTTTACATGTAAAAAACAAGCGTGCGCGATATAAACACATAGTCGGACAGGTCCGCGTGGTGCTGTGTGAACGGTGCGGCGCGCGTCGGGATGTGTGTATAAATGTATATATACATATACACACATACATGCATACATACATATCTGCATAAACATCGGTGCGTTGCGCGCGGTGCTGTGTGATCGCGTAGTCCCATAGCCGTTACAGTGCCGTGTGGAACCACGTACTCTGTTGCTTCTGGTGTTGTGGCGCGCAGTGCAGCTGGCTCGAACTTTTTTCAAGGATGCCGCCCAATCCCGAGTATGATGCGAAACTGCTTTCACACTTGAAAGCGGAGATGAAGACGTCCACGCTGATGCCGTACCGCGAAGACAGGCTTTCAATGGGGACGGGGCCCAAGCTTCGAAACGACCTCCCCCGTTTCCTCCCACTCCTCCCTCCCTCCACGTCATTCTACAAACCTCACCCTGCCTCTCATCGCCTTGATCCGTCTCATCCCCCTAGACCCCCTTCATCTTCCTCGTCTGCGAATCAGCCGCTCGGCGAGCTCAGCGCCTCAGACCCAGGCCGCGGATGCCGAGTGGCTGGCCGCCGTACGGGAGGATGAGGGTGCCGACAAGACAGTTCTCTCCTCCTCCTCCCCCTCCCCCTCCTCCTCCTCCTCCTCCAGCTCTTCCTCCTCCATCCTCGTCGTGACCCTCCTCACCATTCCCTCCATGTGACCATCCCCTTTTCAACGCTAAGGAGATGACTGGGCCAAAAGTCGAAGATAAACTTGAGGCACACTCGAAGCTGCTGCTCGGCATCCCAGTTGGTGAATCGCAGTCTTACGTTTCTCGGCACTTGGTAAAAGTGGCACATGACAAAGAAACTACGTGGCATCTCGGATCTCAGAAAGTTGAATGGGCAGGACAACAGGCCAAAAGACTGAGAGCTATGCGTCGTGATGTGGACCAGCTTGCTATTAAGGCGAAAAAAAAAGGTGGATGACTTGTTAGAATGGCTTATTTTGTTTGTTGTTATACGGGAGGGAAAGGCTGAGCGGGATTTCTAAATCGGTGAAACATTAACAAATATTTCGGAGGACCCCCAAAACATCTGACTGATCCCAGAAACATCTGACTGATCCCAGAAACAGGCTGCGCGGGATTCCGAATCCAGAGAGCTCGATGGCATCCCCAGCCCAGGCTGTCGCTGCAGAGAAAACGGAGTACAACCACCGGTACGATCCGAGTGCGGAGGCGGGTTGGAGTAAAGATTACTACGTGTTTCAAGGGGGAGTGGATGTAGGGGCTGCAAGGGTGGGTGGTGGGAGAACGGTTTGGGGAGGTGGCGGGATGGAGGGGTGGGATGTCGGTGGGCGAACGGCTCACTGGAAGTAGGTCATGGATTGATGGGGGGCGGGCGTCACACGATAGCAATCTCTATTCGAGCCCAGGTGGTCAATCGCCAGGCGCTGCTCGGTGGCGGCAAGCTCGGGCCAGTGCAGGCGTCCAAGCCGCTCAGTGTGCCGCCTGACGCCTCAATGGATGATAATGTAATTGCTGAGTGGGCGGACGGTCACACATGGAGCATCCCGACATTGACATATAGTGACCTGAAGGAGAAGGATACCTCTGGGAAGAAGGGCAGGGTCCAAAACCTCTCGGAGTTGACGCTCGACGGCGTCACCTGGCGGCTGAAGGACGATGTGCAGTACAGGGCGTCCAACAACACGTGAGGGGGGGGGGAAGTGCAGGCTTCATCTGGATGGACGGGTGGACGGAGTGCGATCATTGGGAGCACGGATGGCCTGCGGGAGCAAACAGGGGAGGGGGAGGCGTGAGGAGATGACGATCCTCTGATTCCTCCTCGCTGTCCTCATCCCCTCATCCTTCAACGCTGGGGGACGGGAAGTGGAGGTACACCAACATGCTGCGCGTCTGGAGGTGCGAGGACGGCTGCGGCTCGAAACCAGTGGTCCAGCTGACGACCACCAACTTCGACGAAACGGAGACGGCGGCCGCCATCGAAGGCATGACTGTCATAATGAAGAAGCTCATGAAAGGGGAGCTCGACAAGGACGGTGCAGAGTTGGAGAAGAAGAAGTTCGTCAAGCCGCAAACCAAAACTTCTAAGAAGACCGCCGCCTCCAAGGAGATGAAACGGCCTGCAGCTGCGAAGGTAGACGACGACGACTCCTCCAACAATGGAACGCCAGAGGCTGCCGAGGAGTGCCCGCCGCCGCAGGCGATCAGTGGGCAGCTCGACGGAGAGGGTTCGGAGCCACTGCCTGAGGAGGCCAAGGAGGCTGAGGAGGCCGATGAGGAGGAGGCTGAGGAGGCTCAGGAGGAGGCAAAGAAGGCTCAGGAGGCTACGACGACTGAGGAGAAAGAGAAAGAGGAGGAGGAGGGCCCTGCCGCGCGCAGCCGCAAGCGCCCAGCGGCCGCTCCACCGGCGCGCCCGAAGAAGGCAGTGACCAAGAAGCAGGCGCCCGAGCAGCCGCGGGTCGAGAATGACCACAGCGCTGAGGACCGACAGTATCAATATCAGGGCTGTCGGACATCAACGATGTCAACGGCATGCGTTGATGTTCGTTGATCTTCGTTGAGGTGTCTGTCCCTTGGAACGGCACTGCGGTCATGATATCAGTATGGTAGTGCGGCGGCCGTGCAATCGTGATGACGGCAAGCGCGGCGGCTGCGCGATTATACTGATATTAACCCCCAATCGTCGGTAGCAGTTGCGGCAGTGTCATGATCACATGTGATGATGGTGCCAAAAGGGTGAGTGGATCAATGAACGCCCTCAGGAGTCGGATGTCTCCATGGGCGAGCTCCTTGGGCCGACGGAGGGCTCGTTCATCCTGTCGGGCGCGCCCGCGACCTCGAGCTCGAGGAGCGCCGCGTGGCTGGAGAGACTTCGGCAGCAGCACGGATTGTGAGGGGGCTCGGGGCTCTCATAATTCTACATAGGTCGATCTCGTGTTCTTTCGTAGGCGCGTGCGCTCGATTAGTAATTGATGCAGGAAGCAAGAATTTTCCGAGGCTGAAGCGTCACAAAACAACACTCAGACCATTAAGGGGTGAGATGGGGCCGCTCCAGTAAATGCACTTTGTACCGCGCCCGAACAGTGCACCCGAGATCACTGCCGACAGCTCCAGGGAGTGAACTCCAAGTCGATATGGAAAAACACATTCGCACCAAAAAAAACTAGCTTAGGGATTGACGATGCGGATCAATATGAGGGTCGGGCGATGAAAATCAGGAGCCTTTACACGTGTAGGTCGTTCTGGGTCAACCGTTTGCCTATATCGGTCCGAATGCATTACTGCCGAAAGGGTTCGGCCAATTGGCATCGTAAGTTGACCCCTGGGGCGTTGCTGCTGCCAGCATGACGGACGCTGCCGCCATGGCGGAGGCTGCCGCGTCGATTGTCCGCCAAAACCGTCACTCACTGGGCCTGCGGGCGGGGCTGGGTGGAGGGTGGAGGTGGATATGAAATCTCTGGGTTTGTGGACTCGGGGTCCGAAAGTGGACAATGGGGGCAGAGGGGGTACCGCGGGCCGTGGGGTATGGTTTGGGTGGTGTTTGTCAACAATCGATGCCAGAAAGGCTGTGCCCCTCGACGTCGACGCGAAGGAGGAGGAGCTCGAGGAGGCGGAGGTGGAGCCTGGGGAGGTTGATCCACAACCTGGCGCCGTACTACCAAGCGTCCCCGAGGTCCCATCGACCGATACCGACGAGGCGCCGCTGGTCGCCGCCCCCGCGCCCACCTCGCCACTCAGTTTGCTCACTGGGAATTGCGCGGAGCCGAAGCCCGCGGCTGTCAGCGCGCAGATCGACGGGGCGAACGTGGCGGCGGCCCTCGGCAGCCACAGCGTCCTCGACGGCGTCAATATCAACCTGGACTTGGCGGCGGCCCTGTGTCGCGAGGCGCTGCATGGGTGGTCAAAAAAATATCTAAGATTTCTTGAGGAATGGCGGTGGCTCCTAGGAGGATGACGACGATGGGGCTGGGGAGGATCGGGGGCGAAAGGAAGGGCCAGGGGAGAGAGGGAAACCCCTCAGCCCAATTCCCTCCCTCCCACCCCCCGCAGTTCATTGCCCCCCCCCGCTTCTCCTCATCCTCCGCCATCCTTGATCTCCACTCTTGTCTGACCTCATCCGTCCCCCATTGTTGCTCACCCACTCTCCGCATCCCCCCCCCTCCTCCTCCCGATCCCTCCCTCCTGTCCCCTCCATCCTGCCTCCTCCCTCCACCAATTCGTTTTCATTACACTGTTCTCCAATCAGTCACCCCTCCGTTTTTGTTGCATCACCCTCAGCCCAAGGCCGAGTGCCTGGTGAACGAGTGCGACAAACTCCAGCCTCGCACCGAGGAGGAGCTGAAGGACATCTTCGTCCAGAAAATGAATCAGCGTTACGCAGACGCCGATGTGAACAGCATGGCGAGCACGGACGTCGGCACCCTGGGAGACTTGAGGGACTGCGAAGAGGATGAGGAGGAGATGCCAGCGTATTGGGCCCAAGCGAAGGAGCAGAACTTTCGCTTCAACGCCCGGGGGTCCAAGGGGAACCCCATGGGCGGCAAGTGGCAGCGCTACATCAACAACCCGCAGAACGCGGAGGAGAAAAAGCAGTACGAGGCGAAGAAGGGCGACACCGAAGCGCAGCAGCAGCATCGCCAGCAGTGGCTGAGGAAGAACTTCGACGTCTTCATGGAGACCCACCAGCATACCAAAGCCAAGAAGAAGAGAGACTACTCCGAGGCGCGATACCTCGTAGCGGGGAGGGTTGTGGTTGAGGAAGGCGGCGGCGCTGAAGGATGCCGCAACGCGGCAAACTATTGCCTTGCATGTGTCGCAGTAGGGTTTCCATGGGTGAAATGGTGCTCGCGGCGAAAGGCCGCACTCTACTTGTACAAAACAGAAGGCATCGAGGATGAGGTGACTGAGACGTGGGAGCACACCAAGAAGATGTACCTGCAGAGGCAGCTGAAGAATATGAAGGCGCATCCAGATGCGAAACACACCCTCAGTCACTACCAATTGATTTCTGTGTCATCGGGAGGGGTCGATCGAAGCAGGATCATCGAATGGAGATCGCTCAACGATGCCGATCGGTCTCACGGATCGATCGTCTCGATGCTGCACATCCTTTTGATGATCGCGCCCCCTGGTCTTCCATGCGAGGACGCAGGCGCAGCCCAAGTGACGCAGGTGACGCAGGCGCAGCCGTCCGAGGAGCCAGTGCAGCCGAGGAAACCCGCGGCGCTGGAGGAGGAAACCGCTGCGGAAGCCAACGGCGCTGGAGGAGTCCAGGCGGGCGCGGCGGCCTCGAGCAAGGCCGCTGGCGCGAGCAAGGCCACTGGGCAGCAGGGCAAGAGGGGGCCACCGAGCAAGGCCACTGGGGGCGGCGCAGGCAGCTCTCGTGGTGGCGGCCGCGGCAAGGCCCGCCGCACCGTGAAGGTTGAGGAGGAGGAGGAGGAGGATACGGGAAAGCCTGAGGGGGGGCCTGATGAGGATTCTGAGGATCCCGAGCCGCCCCGCAAGAAACCAAAGAAAGAACCAACCCTTGCAGCCAAGTGCATGGCAACCGCTAAGCTGACTAAGATGAATAGCAGCGCGGCTAAGGTGTCAGCGCAGTCAGTCCTCACTCAGATCAACAGGGATCCAGGCTGGTCATCCGCAAAGGAGATGCAGAACGCCCTCAAGCCGATGCAGAACGCCCTCAAGCAGTTGGACGGCATGGAGGCTGACCACGATGTCTTCCCGTCGATCGTCTCTTCCAACGACCTCTCCGCGCTGCGCGCCAAGTGGAACAAGAAGAATAAAGTGGACCAGTTCGATCGCTACCTCGCTGAATTCAGTGAGAAATTCGACCCAGTCGTGCGGGCCCTACAGCTGGAAACCCGCATGCTCACCAGCCAGAAGCTGGCGCGGGACCAGGAGATGGAGCGCATCGCCAAGCCGAAGCGCTAGTGGGTGTTCGAGCTGATCATGGGAGCGATGCTCGCGTGCTCTGGCAGGCGAGCCCTGGTCAACTTTCCTCATCCTCCTCCTCCTCGTCCTCCTCGTACACCTTGTCCTGCCCAATTCCCCTCAACGTCCACACCCTCAATCATCATGCTCATCTTCAAGCTCGTGTTCGTCGTCCGTCCAACAGGCGCGTCCTCGGCCGTCTAGTCATCATCAATGCCCCTTGCCATTCTCTCTTCACGTCCTGCCACTCTGCTTATTCACCACCCGTGCAACCGACACAAATTATGTTGATGCAATTCCTGGTCGCCATCCTAACCCCCCTCCTCAATGTCGCCCTCGCCGTCCTCGTCGCCCCCACCCGCCATTCCCATCCACTCCTCGCTGTGCCAGGCGATTACGGGCACTACATCGTAGTGAAGCAGAGGGTGCGACTACATGTACTCTCGCAGCTGCGCGGCTCACTGGGAGGGGAGGCGAAACACACGACGAACGCAAACGTGGAGGACGGGCTCGAGGTGGAGGGGGGGGGGGAAGGGCGGGGGGATACGGGAGCAGGAAGGATGAGGTTGGGAAGGGGGAAATTGTGAGGAGTCGGAGGGGGGGAGGGTGAAATCTAGGAATTCTGTGCTTTTGCCATCGGTTCCTGGAAAATCTAACGAGATTTCTGAATTTCCATGCGCGGGAAGATTTTCTTGAAAATCCGAAGCCCCGCAACCGCGCGCAACCGTTGACATGCCGTTGAGCCCCCGTTGAGCCTCGGTGCCGTTGAGCTTCGTTGACCCCTGCTCAAACCCTGTGTTTTCACAGCTAAAGTGCTCCCCCGAAGCCGCGTTGAGCCGCGTTGGGCCCCGTTGAGCCCCCGTTGAGCTTCGTTGAGCCCCCAGATTTTTTGAAAATCTGTGGAAATATTGGTGCGGGCTGCGGGGCTCAACGAAGATCAACGCATGTCAACGCCAAGCGTTGATCTCGTTGAGGCCGGCATGGTCGGGATATGTTTTCCAGGATCTGGATCTGAAATCGGCATAGGCAGCATCTGGATTTGGAATCTGGAGTGGGCGAGGCTGCACCAGTGGGTTCGAATTTGCTGGAAGTGTGATTCTTCGCGAACAGACACAGATTGCAATGAATTGGAGTCATCACGTGTGCGGGGTGGGGTCTGATACTGCTACAGATGCGCTAAGAGCTCCGACGCCAGGTACCTGGGGCGCTGCATGAGGCAGCTATCTTTCTCGTGCCCGCGCTGACGAAGGGCAGCCCGCACGCCGCATGCTGGGGGGGTGGCTTTGATGGGAGTGGAAATGGCAGGGACGCACACACACACACACACACACACACACACACACACGCATGCACGTGCGCCAGTGCTCCAGGCTAGTAGCTAGGCGCCCAGTCGGGCGAGCATTTTATAGTCAGCAGACTGCCGATCGAATGAGCGAGGAATCTAATCTCGACGCGTCCAAGGTAAAACAAACATGTCGTTTCTACGACGTTCTGGATATCAATGCCATTAAAAACTGCATACGCTGATGGTTGGGGAAGGACCTCTGTGACGACGTCATCGCTTCCATTCTTTCAGAGCGGATTCGGATTAGCATATGACAGGGATCTGGCTTCTCACTGGAAGGGGTCTGGCAGGGGTCTGGCTTCTCACTGGAATGCGGGGGCAGAGGTTCCTCTATTTTGGGGGGGGGGGGGTGGAAGCTGCGGGCCATGAGCAATTGAGTACGCCATCGCGACAAGTTTTGGGGTGTGGGGCGAGTTGCATGTGTCTCTACCGATCGGCAAAGATTCTGCTTGAGCGCATGCGATGTTTAAGCTTGCGCTTCTCCCGCAGCTGAAGTGGTGACGCTGGCTGCCACCATCATGAATTGTCGTGATGCATGCCACTGCTGCGTTTGTCGAGTTCATGTGTCCACGCATCGGAGTCAAGCAGTGCACAGTCGTCAGTCATGCATCGATGGTGTCTGCTCTCGTCGTCGGACCGCTCCGCAGACGTCTTGCATCGAGCACGCGTCAATCCAGTGGCCACCTTCCGATTCTGAACAAATCGTTTGTCTCTGCGAGTTGATGGCCGCCGACATTAGACCAAACAAAAAACGCAAGATAAATATTCTTACATTGGAACAGTACGTCCCAGAGTACGCGAAGGCAGAGTTCTCGGAGTTCACTGAGGAGATCAGACAGGGGGGGGCCTTGCTTCTCAAACAACTCAAATCGTTGTACGCAGTTGGTAAACTTTCTGCACAAGATTTCGGGATTACATGTCATTACGCTCACCGGGCAGGGTGCGTGGGGGGGGACTTCGGAAAGTACAGTATGCCACCAGGCTGGCAATCGGGTAGGTACCAGCGTGACCTAGACAAGCTGCTACAAGACACACAACTCTACGAACACATTATGGTACCCAGGTGTCAACCGAAAACCAGTCTTGAAACAGATTTCCGCTTGCAAGTATCGCTAGTGTTCGAAAGCATCGCGGACGAAGTCAGGAATACACCGTCCATGCTCAGCGAGTGCGCGGCCACAAATTGGCCGCAGGTTTACTATGACCACCCTGTGTATAGGAAGTGCCAGGCCGAGAACAAGCCGCCGCCCCTTGCACTAGGCATCTACACCGGCGGCGTTCAGTACCAGTCCCCTCTCTCGGCGAACTGCGACACGACGACGGGGTACTGGATAGTCAACATGACCACGCACAAGAGACATTTACTCGGCATTTGGCGAAATTCCCTCAGTTGCAGGTGCGGGTGCAAAGGATGGCACTCGACGTGGTCAATACTTAACTATACCCAGTATTGTTTGCGTGCCATGGCTAGGGGAAAACGACCAAGGGTAAACGTATCTGGGGAGGAGTGGGCGAGCGACCACATTATGTCGACTATGCTAAAAGAGTACGGCGAAAACCTAGGCTTCTGCGCCTTGGTGGGTTGGTTGCGGGGGGATTGGTCCAACGTGAACAAGACGCACGGCGTCCCGTCTGTTTCCAGCAACAACAACCCGTGCCCATTCTGCCAATGCACGCGTGAGGACATGCACGACCACTACAAACTGATATCCCTAGACTTTCTGCCCTGGGAACCCGTGCGCCCAGGTGCGTATAAGCAGTTTTGTGTTCAGAGCACACACCATGTTGAAGTTGACGCGCCAGAGGTTCACGAGAAGATTCGTGGCTGCATAGTCTTCAAGGCAGGGAGGCGCGACCACGGCCCTACACTGGACAGGGGCGTCGACGAGTTGAAGCTACGCGCAGGTGATGTGTTGCTGCCCTCTAGCACGCTCCCCAACCCGCAAGACTTGTACGATGCATCGCTTCCGTTCACAGCATCTTTTTGGCGAAAAGGAAAGGATGTGCACGGTGTCAGGCGGGGGCCAGCAGTGCACCCAAACCCAGTGTTTACCGACCCCGAGCTGGGAATTGAGCCATCATCATCCATCGCTGTAGATATCATGCGCACCCGATGCTTCGGCCTCATCATGCGAATAGCATCCACCATACTATGGAGAATTATATTACTCAACCCGTGGGGGAGCAGGGGGGGTAAAGAATCCCGCATTGAGGCAAACATCAAGCACGTCCGTGGTCGGCTGTTCGAGTGGCAACACGATGCATGCATACCTAGTGGGTCACGCATTGGGGATCTAACGGTATCCACGATAGGTGGTTCGCCAGATGACTCAACGTTGATCGACGGAGTCCACGTGGGCCAACCGATGGTATTGAAAGCTTATGAGTGTTTGATACTGCTACAATTTTGCATCGAGTTGGTCAAGGAGCATGTAGGCATACCCCATCACAGAGACGTGAAAATTGCTGCAGAGGCGACCTGGGATTTCTACAGTTCGTTGAAGCTACACCCGATAGTGGTCCCGAGGGAAGCCGAACAGGGGCTCTTCGATAGCGTGGTGTTGTGTTTATCGAGATGCGAGCGTGGTCGTGTACATGTCGCACCCAAGTTCCACTTCGTGGCGCGCCTCGTTCTTCGGACCGTTTTGGGGTTCAAAGGAAGGCATCAGACGATCGCCCAATGCGACCTGCTACGCACAAGGGTTTACGGGAGTGCATGCAGGAAGCGTTGGGAGACTGCTGCGTGCCATCCAGAAAGCGAGCATTGGGGGGACGGGCGGCCCAGGCAGGAGGGAATGCGCCCACCGGGGGAGGGGGGGCAAGGAAGGCGGAGGGGGGAGGAGGGAATGCGTCCACTGGGGGAGGGGGATCGGCGCCCCCCTTCAGGATTCGGCGGCATGGGAACCCTACGGCACACGCTGTCAGGACAGACGAATCGCTCAATTTATTGTTCCGCACAGCTGCAGAGCACGCTCACCAACAGAAGTTTGAGTTTCGCATTTTTCGGTCGTTCAATCTGATCTCGCAGCTCGGGCTCGATGCCAGGATCTATTGCCCCAAGGACAATTGAGCATCCATTGATCCTGATGGCGGCCCCAGCGTGGTTGGTCCAGCGCGCCGAGGAGCTGGCTGTGGCGAATGGTGGCGCTGCTGAGCACGCAATGCTGCCTTGCGCCATCGACTCCAGCAAGATGGTCAGCCTGGCTTCAATGGAGGTGCTGAGCTGGCCCGACATGAATCGCAAATTTGACCTCGTTATGCTTTTCAGTGGCGCTGCAGGGGCGGCCCGTCTGGCAGCATCTCAGGGGTTCGCAGTAGCAACTTACGACAGGGAAGACCACTGCCACCAGAATATCTCGACACTCCTGGGCACGCTGTTCGCGGCATTCCTGGTGTTGTCCACTCGCGCTAATGGGCTGGTGCGGTGCTCCCCAGAGTGCAAGACGTGGCTATTTTTCTTGCGCCGATCGACCTACAGCCGATCCCTGCGCGGGTGGAACGTGTTAGGGAACGGCACTCCTGATGGGGACGCGGCCAATTCATCCAGCCTGGTTTTGGCGTGGCTCCTGAACCTCTGCTTCCTTCAGCAGCTTCGTTTTGCAGTCGAGCAGCCAGTTAATTCGATTATGTTTTCCGTCCCTTGGATTGCAGAAGCCCTCCACCTTGGAGGCGCCTTTAGGTTCGCAACTTGGCTCGGCGAATTCGGCGGTGACACGCCGAAATGCTTGGAGATTCACACCAACATACATTCGGCAATCGTGTCGTCGCACCTCGCCAGGGTAGGTAGGAAGGGTGTCATGAAGCCGAAGGGCAGCCTCACAATTCAGAAGGGGAAGCGGTTCGACGGAAAGCCTACTGAGCTGAAAGCGTCCTCTGCATGCCCAAAATACTTTTGCTCAGCAATCGTCGACGCAATGAGGGCAGGCAGGGATCCCCAATGCAGTTTGTGACTGGCCTGGGCGCGGCGCCCATCGATTGCACGCTGAGGGGAGATGGGGCGGGGTTCTGAAAGTAAGAGAAGCCATTTGTTCCGGGGTGGATGGGGAGGGGATTCATTGAGCACTAATGCAGGTTCACAGACGCTCAGTTTAAAGTTTCTCGGGGCGATGCGCCACGACGCGTTTGTAGCACGCATTTCATGTAATAGCAATTCAGCGAACTCGTTGCTTTCAGGATGCATGCTGCATCACCATAGTTTCATGCTGCGACATCGTTGGACGGGTTTGGCCCACGTACTGTCTCATGAGCCCTGCGAGTTTCCATGCAAAAACGTGTACACAACATCACATTGTTGAGAATCGCATTTCGTTCCAATGCTCGCTTCGCCACGCCACTTATCGGCACCGTCACCCGCAATATCAGTACGCATCCGTAGCCATTTTTGGTTCGAACCAACCTTGAAAGGCATTCGGAACGAACTATTACCCACAGAGCTTCATCCGATGGCGACCCGTTCGGAGGAGCCCCTGCCGCGAGAGGTCAAGCTTCACATCTCACTAGTGGAACCAGAACTACCGCAAGGGTTGGATGGAGCATCCTTTGAAATGATGATTCCAGTTACGATTGAACTTCGTCGGGGGTCTCACCGGGCTCCGAACGTGCGATTTGAGGACCCTCTGCAGGAGGCCGTTCAGGGGGTCGTCCAGTCAGCTCAAACGCATCTCGCACGTATCGCAGCAGCGGGCAGCTCGGACGAAGCAGTGGGCAGCTCGGGCGAAGTCAGGCTACCAGTCCAGATCATGCCAGCCGCCAGGGCGCGCCCGAAGGCAGCGCATATCGTAATTGACGCAGGCCCCGTGGTCCCGACCGCACAGCGGATTATGCCGCCGACGCCCCCTCCACCCCATCCACCGGTGGGGCCAAGACAGACTCAAGATGAATGGTGCCGTGATATGCCAAAGGGCGACTTCTCGCAGGAACACTATTGGAAGCTCCAGGAGCGTGGCGAAGGTGCCGCGCAGACGGTCGACGTCGAGGACTCGGCCGAGGAGCAGCGGGAGCGGCCTCAGAAGAAGGGGGAGAACATGCGAGCCTACGAGATGACGCCTAACGACACGTGAGATTCGCTGCGGCCTGCGAGCTTACACGTGAAGCCTGACGAGCCTGTAGGAGCCTGCTGCGGAGTTTCGCTGCGTAGCCGAGGGCGAACACATTGCTCGCGATATTTCATGTCAGTCGCACGCCAGTGATACGGATGTGGACGATGAAAGAGGAATTGCATGATGGAGGGGATGAGTTTAGAAAACAGGAAGGAGCTCAACGAGCTCATCGAAACTCAACGCGTGCGTTGATGCTCGTTGAGCTTAGTTTCTGGATTTCTGGTCTGAGTTCTGGATGTTTGTTTCTGGGTTTCTGGATTTTTGTCGATGCCTGGATTTCTGGATTTCTGGGTTTCTGGTCTGAGTTCATCGGTCGGTGAGTCGGAAACCGAACAAGTGAAGAGGAGGAGGATGAGGAGGACGAGGAGCAGGAGGGGCAGGAGGAGGAGGAGGAGGGGGAGGAGGAGGAGGGCGTCTTCATAGGGCGTCAGCGTTTGCGGCGCGCGGGAGGACGGGAGGAGGGCAGGAGACGGAGGGCGGTGCTCGCCCTTGCCGAGGCGCGGAAACCCTTGTTGGCGACGTTCCTGACAGATTTTCCGAGAGGGGGCCGAACAACCGTGGCGACATTGCGCCTCCCCCGCTCCCCACTATTATCTTTTCTGTTGCTGCAACGCATTGCCCGCAATTGCATGGTAACGGAGCATGGCTCAATGCCTATATAAGGCATTCCTGGGATCCTCAAGATCCCCTCAAGTAACCACGGCCCGTCGGCTCGCAGCTGCCGCGCCCAGGCCCATAGGCAGTTGGCGCGCGGATTTTGGCCCATACCCCAACTCCAACACACACTGAATGGACGCGGCGCTATAGGCGCGGCGCCCGCACCAAACAATTGTTGCTATGGCCCGCGCGGACCTTGATCGGAGACCGTTCTGTCACGACGACATTGCGAGAAGCCCAATGTGAGGAAAAGCACACTTGCGCACTGCACGCAACACACTCATGTTTCTAACCCTCTTATGGGCTTCCAACGATCACCCAAACCCACACCGCTGGGACAGGATCAAAATTTACACCGCTAGTGGTGCATTTTCGTACTGCTCAGAAAGCGTATCCCGCGGAAACAGCGCGCGTCACACCTTGCACGTACGCGGGCACGCACATCATGCAGATTGGCCTCTTGGCTGAACAATGTATGCAGTTTTGTGCAAAACGCTCGTGCATGATTTTAACATGTTTTACAATGTTCAACATAAAACTGTAAAACGAGATCCAACACATCACTTGAGATCCAACACACAATTTGAGATCCAACATGATAAATGAGATCCGACGCCAAAAACATTCAAAATGAGATCCAACCATTGTTTTGAGATCCAGAGGCCTTGGATCTGAAAGCGAGATCCTCAGAACCTCAGGGGGGCAGGCCCTGGTCCCGGGGCGGGCTGCCATGGACGTCGAGTATGACGACCTCGACGGCCGGCGCTGGCTGGACGTGACTGTCCGCCACCCGACGGCCGGCGACGAGTCTGCCGTGCGCGCGGCGGCAAAACGCGCGGGCGAGGCGGCCCGCCGGGCCGAGCGCGCCAAACACACCCGCTACCCAGGTGAGCGCATCACGGCGTTCGCCGTGGAAAGGGGCGGCCGGCTGGGCGGGTAATTAGGCGCGGGCCTGGCTGCTGGCGCTGACCAGAGAGCTCCCGGAAAACCCGCAGCAGGAAGAGCGCGAGCCTACCAGCTCAACTGCGCGCTGAATCCGGAGCTGGCCCACCAGCGGCTGGGCTGCGCTGAGGCTGCTCTTGGGCCGCGGCCTGGGCCTGCTGCTGGGCGCTGGGACAGCCGGCGCCGGGCGGCTGCTGCGCGGGGCTGAGGCGGCGCTGCGCTGCTGGGCCCTGGGCCGCTGGGCTGGCGCGGGGCGCTGGGCCGCGGCCGGCGGCGCGCCGGGCGGCTCTCGGAGCAGGAGGGCGAGCTGGGCGGGGGTGCCCGGCGGCGGCCAGAGCCGCCCAGGCCGCGGGCGGCAGCAGGCGGGCGCGGGGCTGGCGCAGCGGCCGTTGTCGGCGGTGCGGCGGGCGCCCGGCGCAGCTGGTGGCGGGGCGAAGGGTGGCGCGCGGAGGCGGTGCGGGGGCGACCGGGGCGACTGCAGCGCTGCTGGGCCGGGCGGCGCCTGGCGGTGGGACCGCGCTGGTGCTGCACTTCCCGAAGGAGGTGTGGCGCCTGGCGGTGGGACCGCAGGCCGCTGGACACGCGACCTGCTGCACGTCGCCGCCGCGCTCCCGGGCATGCGAGGTAAAGGCCCCGGTCGGCGCACCCCCTCGGCCCTGAGGCTTGCTAACCGCTGAGCGCCATGCTCGTTTTGGGTTGGGGGGTTGCGCCGGCTCCCGATCACAGTGCTTCTGGCGCGCGGCAGACACGCGGCCGCCAGAGGAGGAGGAGGAGGAGGAGGAGGAGGAGGAGGAGGAGAAGGAGGAGGAGGAGGAGGACAAGGATGGGGGAGAAGGAGGACAAACGAACGCGCAGGCGCTCCTCCGCGACGCGCGACACGTCGAGCATGCCGAGCTGCAGCGCGGCGCAGCTGTGGACGGTGGGGCGCGCGAGGCCCACGTCGCTGCGGTGACACTCGAACAAGGACGCGGCGCTCCTGAGGGGGGCCGCCGCAGGGCGCCACCGCCGCAAACTGACTAGTTACCGACCAGACCACCCCAACCCAACCCGAAAACCCACATTTCGGGTTGGGGGGGGGTACGGGTCCATATGTGTTTTTGTCGATATTCCCCGCCCCACCCCCCACTGGAAATGGAGGGCAAATTAAGGTCTTCGGGTTGGGTTGGGGTGGTTTGGTGGGTGGTGACAAACGCCGTCGACGACAACGGCAAAAACGACGACAAGTGAGCGTTTTCTTCTTCGGCGTTGTGAAATTGGGCGGAAGGGGAGGGGGACAGGGGGGGGGTCTGGCTCCGGACCTCTGCTGAGTGCGACTGTTTGCGTGTCCGATGGGGGAGATTGCACCTGCTCGAAACACGCGCCACAAAAACAGCCAAGATCTACTCCTTGGGGGGAGGGGCGGTGCGAGGGCCCGTGCCGATCGGCAAAACAATGAATGAGAAAACGATCACTAACGACGACGACTGTTTCGCTGGGCATTTCTGGAGGTGCTCGTCCCCGCGGCCAGACTCGGCCCGAGAAGCTGCCAAGGACGGAGCCTGGGAGGGGTCCAGGGACCTGCTTTGATCGGACTCGGGGTCGGCGGAGGCTGTCCTGCTTTTCATGAAGGACTTGTTTTGGGGGGGGTCAAGCTCCCCTCGTCGGCACTTTGGGCCGTCTGTTGGAGCGGTTTCGGCGCACGATTGCTGACAGCGAGGGGGGTCGATGTGGGGCTGTCAGCGGGTGTGGCGAACCCCCCACGCGGACGATGTGCCTCGGAGAGCATGCAACAGCATCGATCCTGGGCCCCAGACGAGCATGGCTGGGATCGGCACTGGCGCATGGACGGCGGCCTCACCAGCTGAGGGTAAGGGAGGGGGGGGGGAGAGAGGAGCGAGAGGTCCACGGATCGAGAGTCGAGGTGGGTCAATGGGCTCTCGGGCCCCTTTCTGGCGTTCATGCGGGCCTCTGCAGAGACCTCCATGGACCCCCAAAAATCTGCCAAAGTCGGAGTCTGGGGGGCGAGACCGGAATGCAACGGGGGCGCCCACCAGGGAAGTTGGCCCCGGCTTCGGTTCGTGTCGCGCGCGCGGGCGAGGCGGATCTGCGCGAGGGCGATGATGTGTCGGCCGATGCGAGGGCTAGTTCGAAGAACCATGGTCTGTCCTGTCTCGCGGCGGGGCGCGGGGGGGACCTATGGGCGGTGTGGGCTGTCCCATGGGCTGCCCCCTGGGTCGTCCCGTGGGCCATGCCATGGACTGTCCCGTGGGTTGTCCAATGGTCGTCCCGAGGTAGTCCCGTGGTCTTCGGGTGGCCTGTTCTGGTCGGTTGTTCTACGGTGCGTTTCCGTTTCGGGAGAGATCCGTGAGAAAGGCAAGTCACAACACCAATGCAACTGCAAGCGACATGAACGTCGACATGCAATTCGGAATGCAAAGCGGCATCTGCATCGAAATGCAAATCGAGGTATCATCGAAATGCCAATTGTAAGGCGAACCCAGTTGGCATCGAAGTCCATACCGACCTGAAAATCGACACATACACGAAATGCAGATCGAAATAACCATTATAATGTAGCTCGAAACATGGCCCGACTTGCACATCGAAACGGAGATCGGAATACAACAAGAAACGCAAGTCCAAGTGCAGCCGACAAGCAGACCAGCATGCACAAATATCGGATATCGAGATGCAAATCCAAGTGCACTTGATATGCATATCGCCCCAACAACAGCGTCATCGCAAGGGGGGTTGGCCCACGAGGTCAAGGTGCGCGTGCACGCGCGCCTCCATGCCGCCGCGCCCCCTGGACCTGTTACCGGAACGCACCCTGGCCAGACTGCTGAGGCGGACCCAGCCGTGGCGACGAGAGCGCATCCCCGACGAGCAAAGAACGGCCCAAAAACCCAAGTCCTGAGCCTCGACCCGCCAAGGACGATGACGACGACGGACAGGCCGACGGGCGGCAGCGAAGACGGGCGAACCGGCACCAATGTGGAACCCAGGAAAGGGGGAAGGGCGAGGACGGCTACGCCACCAAGGCCGCCAAGACGGCCCAAGAGAGATTCTACACGCCCAAGATGGCTCTAAGACGGACCAAGAGGCCCAAGAGCGCTCCAAGAGGACCCCCAAGAGGGCCCCGAGCGGGACAAATCAGTGATTGCCCGTGGCATGTTCTGTGCGTTTGAAAATATCGCCCTCTCGAGCCCCCAAAAGGCCCCAAAAGTCTAGGCTCCGAGGCCCAAAAGAGGCCTCAAGAGGCTCTCGAGAGGCCCCGAAAACGCTTCGCACCTGCCTCCAAGGAGGCCTCAAAACGCTGGGGGCGTGTTTGTCCTTGTTTTCAAGATCGACTTGCCAAAATTTGCATTCGAAGCCAAAGTGTGTTATCCTTGTTGCCGTCCTTTCGTATGAAAAGCCAAGATTTCTTCGTTTGGGGATTGCCATCTCGCCGTGTTCGGTTCGGTTTGCGATCCGTTGCGTGATAGTTCTAAACTGCATGTTTGTTTGTGTTTTCCCGTCTCCGTCAATTGTTGTCTGTTTTGGGTTACCGTTTTTTGTTTTGGTCAACCGCAACCCAAACATTGAAAACAGTAGAGAAAAAGCCCCCAGAGTTTCGAGACACTTTCAAGGAGGCCCCAAAGAAACTCCCAAAAGCCTCGGACCCACAACCCAGGCACGGTCGCGGGCTGGGCCGAAGATTCAAATATGAGAAGATAGAAACGACAGGGAAAAAACCAACACACTATGAACAAATCACGCTATGACCCGGCCAACAACCCACCAGCGAGCCAACCCGTCCGGGGACTACCCCGCCAACAAGCTCGAGAGACGGACACAAGGCAAATATTCCATGCAATACAGAATCGCAAAGGGTTTTTGAACCACCAAAAATAAAGGGAAATGAACATGCGCTGCGCGGGTTTATTGACGGAGACGGAGGGAAAATGATCATTCCCCCGAGGCGGCCACCACTTAGGCCTCCGCCGTCGTCGTCGTCACCTCCGCCGTCGTCGTCATCGTACTCCTCCTCCTTCGCATCCTCCTCCTTATCCTTGTACGCGCAGGCTGAGCAGATGCCCATTGCATGGGAAGACGAAGGGGAGGACGACAAGGGGAAGGACGAGACGAGGAGGACAAGGATGAATTGGATTGCAAGCTGAGAGCTTTGTTGGGGAGTTCACTTGCAGCATCAAAGACCCTCTGAGGTTACTGCCTAAGGCGACTGCCAAGTTGGCAGTGCCAACAACCTCCTCCCCCCCTGCTCCTCCAGTTTCCTGTCCCTCTTCTCATCCTCCCGCCTGCTCCCTCGAGGTGAAGCTCACAAACTACTATCAAACATGACGAGCTCCCATGGAGCATCATCCTTGAGCCTTTGAGCGCCCCGGACCGGCGGCACAGGCCGGAGGTCTCTACAAGCACACACCTACGGGGCGGCCTGGTCATGACGACCTGCTCGTGGCCGGCCTCAGCCTGTGCAATCGTCAGGTACCCGCGCGTCCGCCTGCGAGGGGCGCTCTGCGGCAGGGCAGCTTCGCAAGAAGGACCGCCACGGCGACGGCCAGAACTGTGTCGCTCGAGCAAGAGGGCACCAACTGTACACCAGCACCGACCTTGGCCAGGCCTATCCTGGACCAAGGATCAGTGTTATGCCCTCCTGGCTTTACCAGGGAACAAGATGCCTCGGGATCGGTGTCACGCTTCCTGGCGCCATTCCCTGTCCCAGGATGGGTCTGCCCAGGATCGGTGTAGGTGCGCAGCTCCCGCCGCGATCGGGCTTGGGCGTCGGACGGCTTTTCCTCACGCCATTTGTTCCAGATACTTCCTCCCACGGGCGGTTCTGAGCCCCAGGGCAATCGACATTTTCCGAGAGGGGGAGAAGTGGAGAACTGCCCATGGGAAAGGAGTCGAGACCTGTGGTTCGCGGATTGCAGCAAATTACCCTGCGACACCCCCAAGCCTTTCTAAGCATGTGGCAACCATACCCAGGACCGCTCAAAACAAACGAACATATTGAAGCACCAGAAGTGCGCAGGAGCACCCCATCCGAGCGCATGGAGCAATGAGGCCTCAATTGGGCCTGCCTCCACTCCGCTGGACCTCCAGGAGACCCCGAGGGTAGCGACAAGTGTGCAGCTCGCAGTCCACCCAGGGAGCCGGTCTCGGCTGGGTGCGCGTGCCCCTCCACTCAGCTGGACCTCACATGAGCCGACGAAAGCGGCGGCAATTGCAAACTTGACAGCCCCAGGTCTCGGCTGGATCCGCATGCCCCTCCCCTTCACTCGATCTCGCAGGAGCCCAGGAAAATGGCGACAACTACGCACACTGCAGCCCCGCAAGGAACCTCGGTGTCTCGGCTGAGGACGCGTGCCCCTCCACTCCGCTGGACCTCGCAGGAACCAACGAAAGTAGCGAGGATTGCGCAAGAGGCCCCCGACAGAGCCGCGAGGTCTCGGCTGGGTCCGCGTGACCCGCCCTCTGACGTGCCTCCCAGAAGCCCACGAAGATGGTGACAATTTCGCAGGGAGCCGCGAAGTATCGTCTGGGTCCGCGTGCCCCCCCCCCCACTCAGCTGTGACTCTCATGAGCCCACGACAGTGGCAACTGGTGCGCACTTCGCCACCACCCAAGGAGCCACGAGATCTCAAATGGGACTGCGTCGACCCCGACTCCGCTGGACCTCACGGGAGCCCACGAAAATGGCGATTGCTGCAGAGTCCGCAGCCTCCTAGAGAGCAACGAGGTCTCAAATGGGTGACCCCCCCAACCTGCTGGACCTCCCAGGAGCCCATGCGAGTGGCGACTTTGCGCAGTTCGCAACCACCCAGGGAGCCGCGAGGTTTCGGCTGGGTGCGCGTGCCCCCCGACTGCGCTGGACATCGCAGGAGCCCACGAAGGTGGAGACAGTTGCGCAGTTCGCAGCTCCCCAGTATGAGGCAGAAGGGAGAGAAGAGACGGAGAAGGAGTGGACACAACAATGCTCTGTTCAAAACGAGAACCCAACGCACAGGAGGCTTGGGCAATACAGAATTATCTGCGATGTGGCCCAACCCTTCCCTACGCAAAGCGACTAGTTGTGTGCACTGCTCCATATAATTGAACACATTGCGGTACATGCAACACTCTCAGATCCGTCGCCTAACCATGTCGGGCCACGTGCGTCGCACACCTGCGCAGGAATGGGTCACTAAGGACAGAGCCGTGCGCTACGTGGCGTTCAGGCGCGTTGCGCTCTGCAAGGCAACACTTCCGCGCCCTACATGACGAGACGGCGCCGCGCGACACGTGGGCGCGCGCCATGCGGTCGCCCTGCACTTCGCCGTGCCTCCCAGGAGCACACGAAGGTGGACACACTTACGCAATTCGCAACCCTCCAACAGAGACGTGAGATCTCGCCTGGACCCGCGTTGCCCTGCACTTCACGACACCTCCCAACAACCCACAGAAATGGCGACAATTGCCCCACATCGCAGCCCCCGAGGTAGCCGCGAGGTCTCGAAAAGATCCACGCTGTCCTCACCTCCGCCGCGCCTCGCAAAAAAAAACACGACATTGGTGAACCCACGGAAATGGCAAATGTTGCGCAATTCGCAACCACCCAACGAACCGCAAGGTCTCGTCTGGGTGCGCGAGGACCTCCACCCCGCTGGACCTTCCATGAGCCCAAGACAATGACTACAATTCCACAATTCGCAACCTCACTGGGAGACGCAAGGTCCCGTCTGGGTGCACTTGGCCCCCTCCTTCGCTGGACCTCCCAGGAGCCCTTGAAAGTGGCGACAATTGCGCAGCTCGTAGCCACCCAGGGAGAAGCGAGGTCCTCGTCTAGGTACGCGTGCCCTCCGACTGCGCTGGACCCCCCACTAACCTATGAAATTAGTGACAATTGCGCAAGTCGCAGACACCCAGAGAGCAGCGATGTCACGACGCCCTCCCGACTCCGCTGGACCTCCCAGGGGCCCACACGAAAGGCGACCGTTGCGCAATTCGCAACCACCCAAAGACCAGCGAGGGTCTCATCTGGGTGCGCGTGCCCCCCCCACCCCACTCAACTGGACCGCTCAAGAGCCCATAAGAAAAATTCCAAATGCGCAATCCGCAGCCAGCCGCGAGGTCCCGTCTGGGGGCGCGTAACCCCCCCCGACTCCGCTGGACCTCCCAGGAGACTACAAGAGCGGCGGCAATTGCCCAATTCGCAACAACCCAAGGAGCGGCGAGGTCCCGTCTGGGTCGGCGCGTTTTCCAAGACTCCGCTGGACCTTCCAGGAACCAACAATAATGGCGACAATTGCGCAGTCCGCAACCACTCAGGGAGCCGCGAAGTCTCGTCTGGGTGCCAATGCCCCTCCTCCCCGAGTCTGCGGAACCTCCCAGGAGCCCGCGAAAGTGATGACAGTTGCGCAGTTCGCAACCACCCTGGGAACAACACAATCTCGTCTGGGTGCGCGTGCACCTCCACTCCGCTGGACCTGCCAGGAGCCCAAGAAAGAGGAGACAATTGCACAATCCGCAACCTCACAACGAGACGCAAGGTCCCGTCTGGGTGCACTTGGCCCCCGCCTCCGCTGGACCTCCAAGGAGCCCACAGAAGTGGCGACAATTTCGCAATTCACAGCCACCCAGGGAGCAACAAGGTCCCGTCTGGGTGCGCGTGTCTCCCAGACTCCGATGGACCTCCCAGGCGCCCGCAAGAGTGGCGACAATTGTGCAGTTCGCAACCACCACGGGAGCGGCGAGACCCCGTCTGGGTGCACGTTGCCTCCGACTCCGCTGGACCTCCCAAGACCCACCGGGAATGGCGACAATTATGCAGCTCGCGTTACCCAGGGAGCAGCGAGGTCCCGTCTGAGTGCGCGTACCCCCCCGACTCCACTGGACCTCCCAGGAGCCCTTGAACGCGGCGACGGTTGCGCAATTCGTAACAACCAAAAGAGCAGCGAAGTCCCGCCTGGGTGCGCATGCCCCCAAACAACGCTGGACATCCCAGGAGCCAAAAAGAGTGGCGACAGTTCCGCAATTCGTAGCCACCCGAGGAATCACGAGGTTTCGTCTGGGTGCGTGTGCCCCCCCTCCCCACTCCGCTGGACCGCACAGAAGCCAACGAAAGTGGCGACAGGTGCGCAGTTCACAGCCACCCAAGGAACAACGCAGGAGGAGGGAGGGGGGAGAAACCGAGATGTGGAGACCACGGTGCTGTATTAAACACGAGAACCGAATACAAGAGGATTAGAAAAATCAGCCCGTTGTAAGTCTCAGGGCCGATGTTGCGCGTCTGTTTGTTGGGTTGCTCATGAACCTGGAGGACTTCGGGGAACTCTGGAGAACGCGAATGTCTGAGACCCCTGGGGGGGGGGCTGGCAAGACACGCAACTAAGGCGTATGATCGCGAGTTGCAGATGGTGCTTCTGCAGAAGATGGCGCTGCACGCTGCAAGAAAACTCCGGTGCTGCGTTGAAATCTCTAGTAACGCGGTCTGCCGCAACTGAGGTAGAGACCAGTCAGAGAACATCAAATGCACTTGTTTACTGGACTTGGTGAACCTCCTGTTAACGTACTGAACATGCTTGCGAATGCCATTGATGACTATATGTAGCATTGGCGAGCCGCAGTCATAATGACACATGGTACAATGCAGTTCCCTTCGCCCCAAAATGCCAGGAACATCGCCTCATGAGGCGAGATGGCTGTGCCCAATGTACCCATTACGCGCATCCTCGACAGCCCCTGCTCGCAGACTGACACGCCAACATCGGCAGCGGAAGCGAGCAGTGATGGTTGACAGACCGATCGCAAGATAAGAACACAGAGGGTGCCCTTGAGCCAAGATGATTACGGGCACGCAAACATACTAACAAACACACTGCAAACAGTATATAGTTTAAGCTCATACAGGCGAATTCCTCAGCCGGCCCAACTTCAGTGAGCTTAAAACTATACAGGAGCTCACAAAAGGAGAGAGGACCTGGCATCGAAACACGAGCTGATCAGTGCGGCCTCCCAAGAGGCAGGCAAGTGAAACGTGCAAAAGAATTCAATATCCCTCCCTCCCTTCGGTCGATCGTAACTCCGACGACGACGGCAACGAGAGTTGACGAGACGACGCTGCTCGGGACCTGGCCTTGGAAGACGGGTCCTGACGGCGGTGCGTGATGGAATCCTTCTCTGCTGTAAGCCGCATCATGCCGGTCTTGAGGAGCTGGAGCTGTGCGGCGTTCCCCTTACTCACATCTGCTTTCGTCATCACATCCACTGGCATAAAGGGGCGTGGCATCCACCGGATGGTCCCCCCGAGACGCGATAAACTCTCCCGGCACACTGATAGATCAATCGCCACCCGTCGGTCGTTTTTGGAACCCCCGGTGTCCCGGTCCAGAGTATCGAAAATCCCCTTGGCATCGACGATGGCCAGGTTGTTGGTGGGCTGGGTGTTGAGGGTGCAATCTTTCCTCAGCAAGGATGCAAAGGGGCCTACCTTGCCCTGCCAACACTCGTCGATAACCGCGCCGAAAACTGCGTCCTGAAACAACAGCTGCATCCACTCGGCCTCTGCAAGGGCAGCACTCAAGGATTGCACTTCTCCAGCCAAAGTGGACGGCACCTGTCTCCGAATCCTGCATGAGCGCCACGACAGTGGCGATACCCTGGATCTCTCCCCGGATGCTATGCTGTCGTCTGCCATGTATACCTGCCATGCTTGTTGCGGACGCTCCCCGGACTTGGCACCGACTCCCCCGCAGTCCGACGCAGTCGCAAACGCAATCCTCCCAATCCGGTGCTTCCATATCGTGATGGGTAGGCTGGCAGAGCTCCGTAGGTAGTCCACCATTTTGTTCGCCACTAGGGCGTCTCCGACCGTGGGGCAATTTACTTTGCTGGCTAACAGAGATGCTGTCCCACTGGCTTCCGGACGAGTCTCCCTCCCCACCCAATTCAGCCGATATATGAGGGACCGGAACTCGCTTACCTGTGGACCTAACAGGGGCAGCTCGTGTCGAGATCGTTGCTCGCGTGGGACATGTAATCGCTTTATCTGTTCGAGAATGTATTTCTCCTGGTCCACTAGCACCCTGTCGTGTAGACGGCGCACCCTTCTCCCGATATAGTCCACCCCCGTGCTGTCTACAGTCCGCAGCTTCCCAAAGGTAAACCTCTTCTTAAATAAATCTAGCTGAGCCTGCTGTACTCCTGGTGCGGTGGATATAGCCCAGTCATCTACTTCTATAAGTACCATGGCGTCGGGACCGTCCTTGGTGCGCCTCACCATCCAACAAGGTTCCAGCTTGGTCTTAACATATCCCAGGCTCTCGAAGAAGCGTACTGTCGTGTGGTGCAACGCTAGCGGCGCGTCGTCTAGACCGTATACTGGTGCTATTAGTTCTATGAGACTGCCCGAGGGAAGGTTCAGACCCTCACAGGGTTCCACGAACACCCGTCCACGTGGTCGTCGTAGAGGGTCCGACTGACAGAACGCGTTCTTGAGATCTCCGATCATGAGATCGTGACCTAGAGCGATGGAAGTGGCCAGGAAGAGCATAAGTGCTTCCATCTGGGGCGTGGGGGCGTAAATCCGTAACTCGTGGGTGTCGGCGTCCTCGTGGCCTCTGACACACCACCTAGACTTCGCCACTGGCCGAGAGAAAACCCCCTCCTGTGGCTTCCACCTTCGCACCATCCTGGACGAAACGACCCGCGACGGAAAGGCTCGCCGGAGGCGCTTTCCTTCCTCCGGCGGATGGACCTTGACGGCCCCGGTCCCCGAAATATTCCTCCATTCTTTAGCGTCAGCCTCGGCGAACTCTTCGGCCTCGCTCTCTGAGAGCTTCCTAAGGGAGATCTCCCCTCCTCTGGACGTGGCGAGAGTGAGCGCGCCTGCCCCCTCTTCCCCTTCGCCGGGAACCAGTTCAATATCGGCGTCCCCGGCCACGAAATTCGTCCAGTCTCCGCTCCAGCCGCGGTCCCACAGACCCTTGTTCACAGAATCGAAATACGAGTCCAGCTCCGGCGACGAGAGAGAGAAAAGGGACAAGCTCGATTCGGTTTCCATGGCTTCTTGAACTGGCCGCTCGCTCGAGTCCGGCGCCGCTCCCGGACTTCGGGACCTGTCCCGAGAATCTCTGCCCTCCATTCCCTCCCAGGCGGCGACGACACGACCGACTCTCCCTTCCGGCGCCTGGTCAAGCTCGATGGGGACGGGGAGTCTGTGCAGACGGTCTCTGAAACGAGCGAGACGTTCGTCTCTGGGACCCTCGGGGACAGATCGAGCTGAGTCGACCCTTCTCCTGGTAGCTCGGGCTGTGCCGAGGTCAAGCTGCTCGTTCAGAACTACCGCCCTTCGAGATTCTCTAACGATTTGGTCCGGGTCCTCATCCCTGCCGGGCCCCGAAGAGGCGTTGCCGATGGCCGCTGACCCACTCGCTTGAGAGATTTCGTTCCCGGGGAAGGTGGTCGCTCCTGAGACCTCGGAGTCAGCCCTGGACGCGGGAGCCGGGACCACCGTGGACCCGGGACTTTCGGAAACGGGACCTTCCTCTGACAGAACGCCCGGGGCCACGCCCTGTCGTAGCCGTCCATCACGTACACCGTCGCGAGGTTGTTGCTCGGCGCCTGGCTGGCTGCCCGGGCCGGCTAGATGGCCGGGTGCTGCCGTCGGCGGGAGCTGCCTTGTGGAGGGCATGATCGGCAGTCGAATGCTTGAGTCCTGGGTACTGGGTTCCACGGGAGCCTCCCAGGCCTCCGGAGGCGGTGGGCCCTCTCGGGCCACGTCCACTCCCGCTCGCTGAGTTCCTGACTGGACCTGTCGCACCAACTCGGACACCCCCGGATCGCTCAGGAGCTCGGCCCCTCGGGCCTCGGGGCCCGTGGCGGGCCGGAGTTGCTCAGAAGCGCACTTCCAGAGTCTGGACCTCATGCTGACCCAGGCGGTGTTGTTGTACTGATATATCACCATGCCCGGTCCTGTCCACCGGTCGCGCTGGAGGCCGTATGTTTTCCCGGTCCTGTGGGCTCTCCTCCATACGTACACCCAGTCTCCTGGAGCGTATTTTTGATCCCGGTGCCGAGGAGCACTGGCCGCCTCACGGAGGCGGTTCCTACTCGACGTCTCGAAGAGACGGGACCTGGCATACCTACGAATCGCCATCGACCTCGAGAAATCAGCCGCCGCTGTATCTTGGTCCCAAGAGCTCTCAGCGAGATCATCGAGCCCGACCTGATTCACCCCGTCGTCAGATAAGATGTCCTGCGGCATTCTTGGGTTGCGGCCGAAAACGAGTTGGTTCGGGGAGAATCCTCCTCGGTGGAGGTAGTTATTTTTTCCAGAAACCACTTCATACGCCAGAGTCTCGAGATCCTTCTCGGACGCAACCATGGACTCCTCGGCCCCTTTGACCATAAGATCTTTTACCCAACCCCCGTGCCGCTCGCAGCGGCCGTTCTCCCACGGCGCCTCGGCGCTCGTGATGTGTTGGTACACTCCGTGCTGTTCCAGGCCCCTGGAAAATTCCCCTTGGAACTCGGGCCCGCCGTCGCTAACTAGGAGCTCGGGTGGTCCGAAATATCGAAGCCAACATGCGACAAAGCAAGCCCACGCCCCGGCCGCTCCCCCCTCGCATCGAGCCACAACCTGGTAGTTGGTACCATGGTCGATACAGTTGAGGAAGGCAATCGAGCGACCCTCGAACGACACGAAAAAAGTGTCGACACCGACCACTCGATTGAATTGGAAGGTATGTGGCATCGCTACCTGTCTTCTTGAGGCGGGTCGAGGCTGGGCGGCACAATCGGGACATACGAACTCCGACTTCACATAATCTAAGATCTCTTTCTTGGCATGTGCTGCTCGGAGAATACGGAGGAACAGGGGAACGCGGGGGTGTCCTAAGTTGACATGTACCTTCTGGACTAAATCCCTCACCCTCGCATCCACCTCGAGCGGAGGCTCAGCCGCCGTGCTGGTGTCGACCTCGCCGGCGCGGGCGTCCTCCTCCTCCCCAGCATCGTCCACAGGCCCCCCCGGGTCCTCAGCCTCTCGCATCTCCACGTCTCCTTCTTCCTCCACGGCTTCCAGGGACGAAACCGGAAACGACCAGGGTTCAAGATCCAGGGTCTCGCGGCCAGTGACGTGAGGCCCCAACCGACGGTGGGTCCAGGCAATCAAGTCTGAGACTCTCGTCTCGGCTCCTCTAGACTCCAGGGTCCTTCGAAACACGTGCGTCATATGCTTCACAAATTCCGGAGAGTAGACCTGGGATCGTCGAGTGTATGAGCCTCCCTCTAGGAGGGTATGCTCATGTCTCCCCTGACACTGATGCTTTACTAGGCTCTGAAGAACGCTCGGACTGTTGGACATGATGCGGGTCCGCTTCTTGCACAGGGATCTGTCCTCTCTCACGGACAGATTGAAGCAACCCATGTCAAAGTCAACGGTGCTGACCCCGGGGACCTGGGCAAGGCGAGTCAGGGGGCCCTCTGACCAAGACGACGCCCCGGCGGGATGTTCGAAAACAAAGACTCGGCCTGTCTTGGACTGCTCCAGAGCCAGGATAACCGCAAAAGCCAAAAGCGCTCTCCCCTCCTGCTGCCTCCTCGCTCTCTCAAAAGGGTCCATCTGCTTCTGAGACACCCGGTATATCGCGCTAAAGACAGTGCAGGGTGGGCTCAGCATCAAAATCTCAGGACGCTTTTCCCGGATCAGGACCAGGGCCCTGGCCCTGTGGGAGGCCCGGGTAAAGTCCCACCCCGTCTGCAAATCCAAGCTTCCCTGGGACCTGACTCCATGTTTTTCCAGAGACGGGGCCAACCTGGGTGGAGAGAAAACCTCCATAAAACCTCGTTCGAAAAGGTCCTTCCTTCTTCGCTTGAGTCTTCTATTCGACTGACAGACTGGAAATGACAAAGGCCCCTCCTGCTGGCGCGTCGAAGAGAGAGAGGACGGGGTTCTGACATCGTCGGTGGGAGGAACGTCGTGGGGCGGATCTGGTGAGGCGTCGGACCCTGAGCCTCGAAGCCCTCGGCCTCCTGGATAAGCTTCGAGGTCTGGAGGTTGTTGCTCACCGGATATCTCCAATCCTTTCGCTTGCCCCAGGATCCCCATCATTTTCCCAAGATCCCTCGTCATACGCTTGGAAAAAGCCGATTCATAATCGTCGTTGAACTCGGCCCCTTCAGTGAGAAGGACATGCCACGTCGGGCAATGAATTGCAAGATGCCATTCTCCGTCGAGCGACCTCTTTGAATGTGTCTGATAGGCCCCGTCGGGGCCTTGGGTGATCCACGTAGTGTTCCGTGCTACCTTCATCGCCCTCTGACCTCGCTCGTCGGAGCAATATGGCACATAAAACAATTGACTGGGGTCTGCGCTCAGCTCATTGACGACGGCTCGCTGTATATCTGTGGCCTGGTGTCCTTCCAGCTTCAGCTCTCGGGTCAGACCGTCCCAGTCGATGCATGGAGTCGTTCCTAGGACAGACGCTTCGCCGGCACCGCCTCCAGGTTCGGACCGATCAGGAAGAGCGTCCCAGGATCCGTCTCGAAGTAGATCTCGCCCTTCTCCACCCACTGGCGCGTCACGCCGGGAAAGGGTAGATTGAGCGTCACCGGACCGTCGGGAGCCGAGGTCTTGACGTACTGGATCTGCTCGGCTGGGGAAAGGTGCGAGACGTCCTGCCATCCGTTCACCGTCACACCCGAGCTGGCAGCAGTCGCGGCAGCCTGTGAAGCTCCCGTGGCGGCGTTCGCGATGACCAGCGCATGGCTCTGGGTGTGGGCCTGGAGGCACTGGATGGCCTCCTGCTGGTTCGCCAGTGCGGCTCCCTGAGTCGCCACCTGGCCTTGGACCTGCCCGAGCATCTCCAGGATCTTCTCCTGGGTCTTCAGCATGTCCTGCTGCGCCTTCAGAGTGTCCTCCTCGGACTGCTCCACAGGCGCCCGACCGCGTCTCCGAGGAAGAGCGTCCACCTCCATGTGCTCGTACTCCTTCATCGGGGGCCCTGGGCGGTAGCCTCTCACCGTCGTCGGCGTGAAAGGTGCTCCGGCCTCCGGCTTCGCGGACGCCATGTTGGACTCGAGAATGCCCTGCGCCGTCCCGCGAGCTCTGCGAGCGCTCGGGCGCGTCACCGGAGGACACTGCTTCGGCGCCTTGGACTCTCCCTTCAGGACGGGCGTGGACTCGTAGCTCAGCCTCAGGGCACAACTGCCGCACTTGTGCCACTTTGCATGACGGTTGCCCAGCAGCATCTCCTGGTCGAGGGGGTGACGGCACTCCAACTGTCTCGAGTCTATGATGCGCATTCTCCTGGGCCAGTCCTGCGGGAAGAGGCGGCCCGTGACACTCATCGTCAGAAGATTGGCCCCGAGCGTCTCCTCGCGTATCAGCGAGCGACTGGCCAAGGCTGCCCATCGGAACTCCCCTTTCGTGATGTCCTCGGGGATCGGCTGATTCGTCGCAATCCAGACCTGGGGGCCATCCGCTTGGGAGCTCATCGGATGGATGAGGTCGGATACTCGAGTCGGTAGTGCTGTTGTCGTGGTCGGCGTCTGCTGAGAGCTTGTTTGAGCCGATCGCTACGGAGGGGCGGTGGTTTCCTGACAGGGTTCCTGAAAGGGACTTGCTCGGTGGAGTGGCGCTCCGTAAGACATTATTGGGCTCTGAGCCGGACGTGTGGGGCGTGTCGCCACACTGATAAGTTTTTCGAGCTCCGTCCGACATCTGGACGAGATCCCCCCGGGGCTGCCCAGGTTCCGGACAGCTCGGTCCGGATCCTGGCTCCCCATCATACCTCCTGTCTCCGTCTCCTCCTCCTTGATTTGACCCGAGGACCCTGGTTCCGTCACGCTGCCCAGTCGACCCAACTGCTATGTAGTTTCGGGACTTTGAAGAAGAAGATGCTGTTCCGGCCTCCGAAATAATTGTCTGGCGGTTCTTCTGCTTGCTGTTTGACGACGAAGATGCTGTTCCGGCCTCCGAAATAGCTGTCTGGCGGTTCTTCTGCTTGCTGATTCCCTTGTGTTTCCCCGACTCCTTGGCCCGGCCCTCGCAGCAATCGCTCGAAACACCCCCATCGCTCGTCGCATCGGGTCGGACCTTGTACTTGGGAGAAAGGCAAAAGGCTCCCGGCTTCAAGTCGTACTTGGCCGCCACAGCAGCAGGCACTTCGAATTCGGCGGGAGGGCCCAGGCGATCGATACTCACCACTCGATGGCCGCTCGGGAGCTTCTCGAGTGGGGTCTCGACTCCCAGCTGAGTGAACTGTACACGGCCCCGGGGCAAATCGATGACAGCTCCCAGCATTTCTTGCATGCCCACTGGCATGAGTGCCGGGAGCTCCTGATTCACAAGGTCTACCTGCATGACACCTCCGCGGCCCTCCAGGCCTAGGGGAACCAGGATGCCGGATTCGACAGGAATGTGTCCCCCAACGCCCCGGGCAAACCTGTTACTACTCTTAACACGGACTACCTGGTATCCTAACTCACTCAACCTTTTCTCCAGAAGAGCCAACGACTGGGGGCCAATGAGGCCTTGCGCCGCTGCGGTGTCCACGATGATCTTGCCGCCCTCGGTGGTCAGGAAGGTGTCCGGGGCCGTCGCCTGGCTGGGGAGACTGCGGAGGGCCTCCTCGCAGCGCTTGACCACCTCGCTGAGAGTGGCCAGGACGAGCCCCGAAGCGTCGGCGGACGGCTCGTTCAGAAACACGAAGCCGTTGGTCGAGGACTGCTTGTTCTCCGGGCACTCTCTGGACCAGTGGCCCTTCTTCCGGCACTTCTTGCACCTGGTGACCTTCATCAGTTGCTCGATGCTGAGGCGCTCTCTCCTCGGGCGGTGTGCCCCGCCGCTGATGCCGCCTCGGCCGCCTCCTGGACGCGGGTCTCCTGGTCGTCGTTCTGGTCGTGAGCTTCCACCAGGATGAGAGGGCGGTGGGTAGAATTTCCTGTCCACCTTGGCCTGGCGCTTCATCACTTTGTTCTCTTTCCACGTCTTCTTTCGCTCCTGCTGGAGCTCTGCTAGAACAAGAGGTGCTTGGTCTTCGTCAATGTCGGCCGAGTCGATGCACAGCAATATCTCGTTTTCCATGTCGGTGTCCACCGACAGCTCCGATTCGTCATCATACTCTCCGTGGTACGTGCCAGAGCCGTCTTCGACGTCCTCGCCAAGGTACGTGCGTGCTGTGCGGGCGGCTCCGGTCAGGGACTCGGTCTTCGACAGATCAAGCTCCCTGATGGCGTTCTGGAGATCTTCGTACTTGCCCGAGCCGCGCGTCAACACCCTCAGCATCTGCTTGCCACTGTCATCCAGGTTCACTCCTTCCTCCATGAAGAGGTGCATCCACTTGTCTGGCAGTGGGAGTCCCTGGGCACGCAACAGATCGAACTGCTGCTCCATGCGCGCGGCGTACATGGACAAAGTCTCTCCCGCCTTGCGCTGGTACCCGAAGAGACATTCTCGGGCTGCCCGGCGATCTTCATCATCTACTCTCTTGCCGCTCATCGTGTCGAGCCGCTTCACGATCAGGTCGGGGCCTACGCTCGACATCAGGACGTCGTCACTGATGTCTTCCATCTTGCGCTGGAGCTCTAAGTCCAGCGTCTTCATCAATTTGTCAGATCTCTTCGGAATCGGCACGTCGGTGGACGAGAGCCAGCGCTTGATCTTGCGGCGCCAGATGCGGAAGTCTGTCCACCCCATCCACGGATCTGGGTCCGAGTAGTCTGGCTTGGACCAAGACTTCTCGTGCCACGACCAACTGGAGGAGCTCCAGTCGTGGCCTCTCCATGTCCATTGTCCGTCGTCGTCGTCCTTCTTGTTCCCGTCGTAGCCGCGGCTCTTGCCGTCTGAGCTCTGCCACCAGGGTCCGCGCGCACCTCCCCACGAGGTGCATCGCTCCCACTTCCCTGCTGGCTGCTCATCTGGCTCCTGCCGGCCGCCCCACGGGTCGTCCTGGGCCCACGGGTCGTCGCGAGCGTGCCGGCCCGCACCCTCTGTCTCATGGACCGCCTCGGTCTCCGGCGGTCCTGTGCTCGCTCTCT